ACATAATAACTGGTAACAAACAGCAGGTCATTTGATATCCGATAAGAAACGACAGTCACATAATATCTGATAACAAACAGCAGGTTTCTTGATATCCGATAACAAACAGCAAGTCACGTAATATCTGATAACAAACAGCAAGTCACATAATATCTGATAACAAACATCAAGTCATATAATATCTGATAACAAACAGCGGGTCACTTGATATCTGGTAACAAACAGCAGGTCACATAATTTATATCTTATATAAATCCGCTGACCATGCATTTAATCAACTTCTGCATAATGTTAACCTCTATTACGTAAAGTGTTAACTTTCCATATCATAGGTCCATAAAACCGTTTAACGGAATCGAGTATTGTCCATATCCAGTACACATGTTGTAATGTATTATCCATATTCAGTACGAGTGTAATCGTGTACTCAACAACAAAAGTTCCTGTGACACCAATATTTTAGTGTATTTTTCAAACAAGTAAAGTTTGTTTTTCAATGTTGTAGTACATGTATGGAATCAAGTCACAAAAACGCAACTTCTACAGAAAAGCATGCATTCCATGAAAAAGTTGACTTTTATGCAAGCCCCATGCATTTCACTACCCAAGAATATGTAGAAAAACATGTGCGTTAACGGGATTCCATACCATGATATGCATTGCTTAGCATCGTGCTGACAACAACCACTCCGAAAAACAACAAAATTACGCAATTATTCAACATTACGAAATGCCACGCCTGTCAGAAAATGAGCGTCTACGAGTCATTGGTATGCTTGAAGCAGGATCGAGTCAACGTGATGTTGCAAGACAATTTTACGTCCACAGAAACACCATTTGGTGTTTATAACAACGTTGGCAACAGACGAATGCAGTCAGAGACCATCCTAGGAGTGGCAGGCCACGCGTAACCAATAATCGACAAGACAACTGGATTCGAACAACACACCTACGAAATCGATTCCAGCCAGCAACAGTGACTGCAAGACGCATCCCTGGCCATCGACGAATATCTTCACAAACCGTACGTCGTCGCCTCAGATGTGCAGGGATTGTCGCCAGAAGACCCGCCAGACGTCCCATTTTGACAGGAAACCACCGTCAAGCACGTCTACAGTGGTGCAGACAGCGTCTACGCTGGACGGTCATGCAGTGGGGACAAGTTCTATTCACTGACAAGTCTCGTTTTCACCTCAGCCACAGCGATGGACGGATTCGAGTGTACCGACGTCGAGGTGAACGTTACGTCAATCATTGTGTCATGGAAGAAGATCGGTTCGGGGGCGGCAGCGTTATGGTATGGGGCGGGATTACAGCAAGACAGAAGGCCCGTTTGATAGTGGTAGAGGGAAATCTCAATGGACAGCGCTACCGCGACGAAATCATCGGCCCTGTTGTTCTACCGTTTTTGGGGGCGGTCGGGTAGCCTAGTGGTTAAAGCGTTCGCTCGTCACGCAGAAGACCCGGGTTCGATTCCCGACATGGGTACAATGTGTGAAGCCCATTTCTGGTGTCCCCCGCCGTGATATTGCTGGAATATTGCTAAAAGCGGCGTAAAACCATACTCACTCACTCACTCACTCACTCACTCTACCGTTTTTGCGTCGTCATGGCCCAGGCATTACCTTTCAACATGACAATGCCCGGCCTCATATTCCTCGACTTGTTCAGGACACTCTTCAACAAAACAACGTGAATGTCATCCCCTGGCCGACTAGCTCTCCTGATCTCTCACCAATCGAGCACATGGGGGATGAGATGGATCGGCTCCTTCGACGTCAACCACGTGTTCCACAGACACTCCAGGAACTTCGAAACAAGCTCCAGTAGATATGGACAGGTATCCCACAGGACTTTGTGCGACGCCTGGTCCATTCCATGAGACGAAGATGTGTTGCTTGCATCGCAACCAGTGGTTGACACACACGCTATTGATTTGTAAATTTACATTTTGGCATGTTCATGTTGTTTTTTTAATGAAATCACGCATTTTCTGAAGTCAGTATGGCAAGTCTTTTATATGTTGCAAACCGAAATTGCTTCAGATTTGGTAAAAAACGTAGCTTTGCATTAAATCTTATTCAATGTCATAGGAACTTTTGTTGTTCAGTGTATATTTTTCCATATTAAGTACACATGTAATAATGCATTGTCCATATTAGTTTGTTTGTTTGTTGTTTAACGACGCACTCGGCAATATTCCAGCTATATGACGGCGGTCTGTAAGTAATCGGGTCTGGACCAGACACTCCAGTGATTGACATCATGAGCATCGATCCACACATTTGAGATCGATGACATGAATCAACCTAGTCAGCGAGCCTGACCACTCGATCCCGTAAGTCGCCTCTTACGACAAGCATTAAGTACACGGTTAATAATGTATTTTCCAATGAAATACACGTATACCAATGATTTCACGCACATTTAGATACAGTTGACTGAAAACATTGTTGAACCTGCAAATTTCCCAACTTGATTATCATGTCTAGAAAACACATATCTGACAACACATAGAGGACCAGAGTGTATGTATCTGACAACACAGACGACCACAGAATACCTATCTGACAACACACAGAGGACAATACTATACCTATCTGACAACACACAGAAGACTACACTATACCTATCTGACAACACACAGAAGACCACACTATACCTATCTGACAACACACAGAAGACCGCACTATACCTATCTGACAACACACAGAGGACCGCACTATACCTATCTGACAACATCCAGACGACCACAGTGTATGTATTTGACAACACACAGAGGACAACACTATACCTATCTGACAACACACAGATGACCACAGTATATGTATCTGACAACACACAGATGACCACAGTATATGTTTCTGACAACACACAGATGACCACAGTATATGTATTTGACAACACACGGGGGACAACACTATACCTATCTGACAACACACAGAAGACCACACTATACCTATCTGACAACACACAGATGACCACAGTATATGTATCTGACAACACACAGATGACCACAGTATATGTATTTGACAACACACGGGGGACTACAGTACATGTATTTGACAACACACGGGGACTACAGTACATGTATTTGACAACACACGGGGGACTACAGTTCATGTATTTGACAACACCCAGAGGACCACAGTACAGATCAAGAACGAAGATCAATCCTGTTTGGCAAGGGCCATTGTGGTGGCACTGCATTATGCCCAGAAGCCAAACCCTCCCAGAATGGCACTGTCGAAGAAAGAGACTGACGAGAACGGATGGAGTCAACGTTCAAGGCAAACAGGTACGGGCATTGTTTCGGCGCTTTTGCATTTCTGAAGGTCGCTGTCAGGGCCTGGACGACCTAGAACGCGTGGGACGTGCCCTGGCCCAAATGAACTATCAACTGAAAGTCTACAGTCAAGATGTGTTCAACAGACTGTTGTACAAGTGTGATGAGGCACCACCCGACGCCACCGTGCTGCATTTATACCATCATCGTGACCACTTCGATGTGATCACTTCCATGGCAGCCTTTGATGGGTCTTACCATTACTGCGAATTCTGCGACCACGGTTATGATCATCACGAAAAACACCCCTGCTGCAAGCAATATCGTTGCCATCGCTGCCACCGCTGCCTCCACTCCACCCCACCCCTTGCGGACCCCAGGAAGATCATGGGATGTCTTGCTTGGCATGTCAAGGATGGTTCCGAAATCAACGCTGTTACATCCGACATCTCCAGTCAACCGTCAGAGGGAGGACCCAGCGCCTGTCAATCGATTCACAAGTGCCCAACCTGTTTTCAGCTTGTACGCGTCATGGAGACATCCAAGATGAGCGACTTCCATGCTTAGTGTGTCGAGAACCCGTGTCCCCAGACCATCGATGCTACGTCACTCCCCTCCATGAAGCCAATGATGCGGAGGAGGAGGGATGCTAAAACCAAGTCCGACGAGACAACGTCAAATTCCTCTACTATAATTTTGAATGTACGCAAGAGACGGGGCTGCACATCCCGAATTTGTGCGTGGTGCGTTTAGGATGTGGACAGTGCATCGGTCAAGCGACAAAGGAGTTGTGCAAAGACTGTCCATGGAGAGAATAGGTTATGGTCCCAGCCGTGAGAAAGTGTTTCAAGGCCCCACCACACTAGACGATGTGTGTGCATGGTTGATGACCCTGTCTGAAAAACCCAAGAAGAGGAACCAAGAGGAGGACGCACAAAAGGGGGCAGCAGCACACCTAGGCAAAAGAAAACATGACAGAACCCTCTCAAGCAAGCCCCCTACAAAGCGTCTGCGACGTCAACCATCCAAGGAGGAGGGGGAGGATGCCATGGAGATGGACGCGCTCACCCCTGTTTGAGGAGGAGGAGACGAAGGAGGCGAAAAACACCCCCGTCCAGCCGCCTGAGAAGGATGACGTAATTTATGCGATTGCTCATAACGCGCGGGGGTATGATCTGCACTTGATCATGAAGGGCATGCTCCCGCATCTGGTGAAACCCCCCAGCCGAGATTTGGAGAGGGCTACAGATTTTACAGACGACCGTGGGACGCTTGTGTTTCAAGGTTAGTTTGAATTTCCTGCCCTGGCCGCTGAAAACATTTCCAGAGACCTTTGAACTGAATGAACTGAATTTTCCTCACTTGTTCAATACACAGGCCAACCAGACCTACAGCGGTTCCTATCCACCAGCCGTCATGTACGATCACGATGGCATGTCTCCCACGGAACGCATCGCCTTCCTCAAGTGGCGTACGAAGAAAGTTAAAAAAGGAGCCTTGTTTGACTTGCAAGATGTGGATGCCTTCCGGTAGGACTTCATGACGGAGTGCGGCGTGGATCCCTTTGTAGAGCTGGTGACACTCCCTTCGCTCTCCGCAAAAAATCTTCCGAAAACTCTTTCTGAAACCCAAAACTATAGCCATTATCCCACCTTAAGGCTACTAACCAGAGAGAAGATATTCCCAGGCCTGTATGAACTGGTTATGTTATCTCATGGAGACCGACCCCAATCTGCACATCCAGCACGCCAAGAATGGGGTCGAAAAGATGTTCATGTCCGGAGAGGGTAATCATCATTACAGGGTGAATGGCTATGATCCAGCGACAGGCACCATGTATGAATTCATGGGCTCTTTCTGGTATGGGTGCTGCTCCTGTTGCAAGACCAAACGTGGAGAACCTCATGCCGTCCTGTGCACAGTGATGGGAGCACGTTATACCAACACCCACTATCGCCTGGGCCTCTTGAAGCAACACCCTGATGTGAAGCGTATCGTCACCCTGTGGGAATGCGACTTTAAAGCCCAGCAACTGTCAGACCCAGCTTTGCTCGCTTTCATGCAGGGACCCCACTGTACCAACCTACCTGCCCCGCTAAACCCTCGCGACGCCTTCCATGGAGGACGAACCAATGCCACCCGATTATGCTACGAGGCCCAAGAAGGTGAAACCATCAAGTATATTGATATCTGTTCACTTTATCCCTACATTTGCAAGACCAGAGAGTTTCCCACGGGACATCCGACCCTCTACCATCAACCTCCTGTGGAGAAGTTGTTTGATCTGAAAGGTCTTATCCATTGTCATGTCCTACTCCCGACACACCTCTACCATCCGCTCCTGCCCTACAGATCGGGTGGAAAACTGCTCACTCCTTTGTGCCGCACATGTGCCGAAACCCGGTCACAGACGTCCTGCGAGCACACGGGCGAAGAGAGGGCCTGGGTGGGCACGTACACCACCACAGAACTCCATGAAGCCGTGAAGAAGTATGGCTACAAAGTGCTTTAGATCTACGAGGCTTGGCATTTCGACACCTTTGAGAAGTATGACCCCGACACCCAGGAAGGAGGACTCTTTGCCCCTTATATCGACCATTTTTTCAAGATGAAGTTCGAAGCCATCGGATACCCTGAGGGATGTACCAATCACGATGCCTACATCAAGGAGATCCATCGGAAAGAAGGCATCCGGCTGAACAAGGACCACAACAAGAAGAACCCAGGACGCCGCTCTATTGCCAAGCTCTGTCTTAATTCGCTCTGGGGCAAGTACGGACAGCGCTTAGACTATGGTCAGTCTGTCTATATGAGTGATCCTGCCAAGTACTTTGCTCTGTTGAGAGATGAACAAAATACCATAGACGATATCACCTTCATCAACGAACATATTATGAAGGTGACCTATACCCGCAAGGAAGAATTCCTCACACCCCATCCTAATTCCAATGACGTTGTGGCTGCTTGGGTCACCACACAAGGGCGTCTCGAGCTGTACAAGACCCTCAGCCCATTGGGTCGCAGGGCCTTGTACTTCGACACGTACAGCGTCTTATACATTCATCGACCCGGGGAATGGAATCCAGAGCTGGGCAATTCGTTGGGTGATTTTACAGACGAACTGAACGGAAACACCATCAAGACGTTTGTGTCAGGAGGTCCCAAAAACTATGGCTATGAGTTAATGAACCCAAGACCCGATTGAACGTGCACGACCTGCAAAGTGCGAGGGTTCACCTTGAATTATAGAAACCAACAACACCTCAACTTTGACACTATGAAAGGACTGCTTAAGGGACAATGGCCTGGGAAGGAGGGGGAGAAAATCAGCGTGGATTACCACCATCAGCATGGGAACGATCTTGTGACCCAACCCACCAAAAAAGACTACCGCACCATTTACGACAAGCGATACATTGTCTATGACGCAACCACAGGCCTGCCTGTAGACACGCTCCCCTTTGGGTACAGAGACTAATGATGTTCCTCACGCTATGTTGGCTGCTGGTGATTTATCTTGAAGACAGACGTGTTCGGAGAGCATACCATGCTCTGCTCACTTCCATCCATGAAGCCATGAAGCCATGAACCCACGGACCGAAAGTGGATCGACATACACCACCCCGAGAGACTAAAATAACAGGATCGAAATCTAACTAATGAGACGCTAGGGTTTTGGACCAATCAGAGACTGTCCCCGCCCTGGACGGCCCTCTGAATTGGTCGAAACACCATTGTGCTTTCTCTCCCATGATACAAGCCTGACCCTATGGAAAAGAAACACAATGGGTGTGCCACACGGGGTGACGTGTGGGACAGAAACCAAACAATGAGAAGGTCTGGTTCTTCACCAATGAGGTCGGATTTTCCACCAATCAGGAAGCAGGGTTTCAGTGCCTTTAAATACGACAGACGTTCTCTTGCCATCACTTTTCACTGGACTGTCCAAGCAACACCATCATGTTCACCTGGGAGAAGGAGGAGGATTCTGGACTGGATTCACCCCGGCTACAACATTCTATGGAAAAGGAAGAGGAGAAAAGGCTCCCCGACGCCATTACCCCCAAGGCTGCTCGTCAGAGCGCTCCGGCTGCCTCCTCCTCCTCTTGAGAAGAAAAGGCACCCTTCCCGGCGACAGAGGACTAGAGCACTCCGATCCCCTCCTCAGGAAAAGAAGATCCTCAAGGCTGCTCGTCAGAACGCTCCGCCACCCTCCCTCGGAGAAGGAGGAGGAGGAAAAAGCTCCCCGACAGCGGATCCTCAAGGCTGCACGTCAAGAGCACCCCGGCTACAGGAGGTGTTAAGAAACATATCATGACACACCCGCACCCACACCCTGAAGAGCCTAAAGAGCCGACATCATCACAGGAGACGCCATTCGCCAACTGTAGCTACTTTGGTCGTTGGCAACCATGCTGTTACTGTGGCTGAGTGCCACGGCCCTAAAAAAGCTAGGATGACGTTTCCGTTTCCCGTTCGTGTTCCCGTTCATGTTTCCCGTTTCCGGTTCCCGTTCCTGTTTTTTCATCTTCTCCAAACGGCCCTTTCAGGGCCACCCATCTCTCCCGAAAGATCGCTTTCATCCTTGCTTTGACTACCCTCCACCTCCACCACTACCCACCAAACCAAAACAAAGAACCCGCCTCCTTCCTCCTCCCGCCTCCTCCCCGCCCCCCGCCTTCCCGCCGCAGCCGCCATGTTGGAGGCGCACGCCCTCCCGGAACCGGAAGTGCCGCCATCTTGGATGCGCACGCCTGACCACACACAGAGGACCACAGTATATGTATCTGACAACACACAGACGACCACAGTGTATGTATTTGACAACACACAGAGGAACACAGTGTATGTATCTGATAACACAGAGAGGGCCACAGTATATCTGTTTGACAACACACAGACGACAACAGTGTATGTGTTTGACAACACACAGGGGACCACAGTGTATGTATTTGACAACACATAGAGGACCACAGTATATCTATTTGACAACACACAGACGGCAACAGTGTATGTGTTTGACAACACACAGGGGACCACAGTGTATGTATCTGACAACACACAGGGGACCACAGTGTATGTATCTGACAACACACAGGGGACTACAGTGTATGTATCTGACAACACACAGGGGACCACAGTGTATGTTTCTGACAACACACAGGGGACCACAGTGTATGTATTTAACAACACACTGGGGACCACAGTGTATGTATTTGACAACACACAGGGGACAACAGTATATGTTTCTCACAACACACAGGGGACCACAGTATACAGCATAATATTAGCCCGTGTTTCCTTGCAGAATATGATACCACACTTCTTGTATGAGAACTAGCAGGTGCACATGCAGGTGGGGAGACGCGAGATAACAGTAATCTGACTCAGGTGACACACAGCCGCAAAATCGGTCCATTTACCTTAGGGCCACTACACGTACATTATCCCCCGTCCAGGAGATCAGTCCCGCTATTGAACCCTGATATGGCCTGTGTTGGGGGCCATTGATCCTTGACGACAGCAATGTCAAAATCCTAATTTATAGTGACAGCAGTTTTTAGATTCAGGGCGATGCGCTACATGCCTGTGTTGAGGGGTGGGGCAATGTGCCTGTTTGTATATATGATTAGTTTGTGTCTGTCTGCATCTATTCGCATTGTACCTGTGTGTCTATGATTATTTTCTGTCTGTCTGCATCTATTCGCTTTGTACCTGTGTGTCTGATAATTTTGTGTCTGTCTGCATCTATTCGTTTTGTGCCTGTGTCTGTGTATGATTATTTTGTGTCTGTCTGCTATTCGCTTTGTACCTGTGTGTCTGATTATTTTGTCTGTCTGCATCTATTCGCTTTGTGCCTGTGTGTGTCTGATTATTTTGTTTCTTTCTGCATCTATTCGCTTTGTGCCTGTATGTGGCTATGATTATTTTGTGTCTGTCTGCATCTATTTGCTTTGTACCTGTGTGTCTGATTATTGTGTTTCTGTCTGCATCTATTCGCAATGTGCCTGTGTGTGTCTATGATTAGTTTGTGTCTGCCTGCATCTATTCGCTTTATGCCTGTGTCTGATTAGTTTGTGTCTGCCTGCATCTATTCGCATTGTACCTGTGTGTCTATGATTATTTTCTGTCTGTCTGCATCTATTCGCCATGTGCCCGTGTGTGTCTGATTATTTTGTACCTGTCTGCATCTATTCGTTTTATGCCTGTGTCTGATTAGTTTGTGTCTGCCTTCATCTATTCGCTTTATGCCTGTGTCTGATTATTTTGTACCTGTCTGCATCTATTCGCTTTATGCCTGTGTCTGATTAGTTTGTGTCTGTCTGCATCTATTCGCTTTGTGCCCGTGTGTCTGATTATTTTGTACCTGTCTGCATCTATTCGCTTTGTGCCCGTGTGTGTCTGATTATTTTGTACCTGTCTGCATCTATTCGCTTTGTGCCCGTGTGTGTCTGATTATTTTGTACCTGTCTGCATCTATTCGCTTTGTGCCTGTGTGTGTCTGATTATTTTGTTTCTTTCTGCATCTATTCGCTTTGTGCCTGTATGTGGCTATGATTATTTTGTGTCTGTCTGCATCTATTTGCTTTGTACCTGTGTGTCTGATTATTGTGTTTCTGTCTGCATCTATTCGCCATGTGCCTGTGTGTGTCTATGATTATTTTGTACCTGCCTGCATCTATTCGCTTTATGCCTGTGTCTGATTAGTTTGTGTCTGCCTGCATCTATTCGCTTTATGCCTGTGTCTGATTAGTTTGTGTCTGCCTGCATCTATTCGCTTTATGCCTGTGTCTGATTATTTTGTACCTGTCTGCATCTATTCGCTTTGTGCCCGTGTGTGTCTGATTATTTTGTACCTGTCTGCATCTATTCGCTTTGTGCCCGTGTGTGTCTGATTATTTTGTACCTGTCTGCATCTATTCGCTTTGTGCCCGTGTGTCTGATTATTTTGTACCTGTCTGCATCTATTCGCTTTATGCCTGTGTCTGATTAGTTTGTGTCTGTCTGCATCTATTCGCTTTATGCCCGTGTGTGTCTGATTATTTTGTACCTGTCTGCATCTATTCGCTTTATGCCCGTGTGTGTCTATGATTATTTTGTATCTGTCTGTATCTATTCGCTTTATGCCCGTGTGTGTCTATGAATAGTTTTTGTCTGTCTGCATCTTTTCGCTTTGTGCCTTTGTGTCTTTATAAGTTTTCTGTGTCTGTCTGCACCCATTAGCCGTCATGTTAGACTAGCACTTAGTCTCTGAAAATTTATTATTTTGATAGAAATAGATATCTATGTTTAAATTATGTTAAAATTAGCCCTAATGAGATGGGAGATTCAGATGAAAATCTAGATCTAGAAACTCTGAAAATAATATGGTTTAGGGAATGTGTGACAGTCTACCTTTATGCCTGAATTTATCTCTAATTATTATGTGTCCGCCTGCGTCTATTCGCCTTTATACCTGTAAATCGATCCATACTATCACAACTATAAATTATAAGCAAGGTCCACATTAAT